TTTTCCCCCCAATTTGTTTTTATATCTTATGAAATATTCCTTTATTCCTATTTATAAAACATAGAGAAAATATTTTTTTTTGTTCTATTTATAAATTATTTCATTAAATTTTTAGTATGAATATACTATTTTATCTTTTATTTATTATAGTATAGAGATAAAATTGAAAATTTATTATCTAAGTTACCATATTTTAAGATTTTTTTAGTATAGGTAAATATATTTAAAATGTTCAATAAATAGGTGGGGCCGACATATGATCCTCCGGAAATCAACTATCGGCAGTTTTGACCGGCGGTTCTTAACTTTGCTAATGGAATGGTTCCCTACGAAGCTTCGTGGATGTTTCTCGTCTCTTCGCGTCTCTCGAGTCACCAACTTCAATGCCCAAAATTATAAGGGAAAAAGACAGAAAAATGCACCTCCAACTCCAAAAGCCCAGAAACGTCCGCCCAATTCCACAAATCCCATTTTGGTACCATGAGACCAAATTGGGATTATTATGTGAAAGGAAAAGACCACATTGCCCTTCATTTTAAATATTATTTTTAAAATATCACAGCCCCTACTGGCCGGCCGGTCACCGGACCTCCGGCAGCGGCGGTCACCGGAGCTCCGGTGACCAGCCGACAATTGGTCACCGGAGCTCCGGCAGTCGGAATTTTTTTTTTTGAAAATTTTTACAACTTCAATATAACGGTTAACAACTTTTGTAATGCTATTCACAACTTCAGTATAGCAATTAACAACAGCTTTTTTGGGAAATTCAACAAACTCCGGCGACCGGAAACAATTATTTTGAAAATTTTTACAACTCCAATATAACCGTTAACAACTTTTGTAATGCCATTCACAACTTCAATATAGCAATTAACAACAGCTTTTCTGGGAAATTCAACAAACTCCGGCAACCAGAAACAATTTTTTTGAAAATTTTTACAACTTCAATATAACCGTTAACAACTTTTGTAACCCTATTAACAACTTCAGTATAGCGGTTAATAACTTCAGTATAGCGGTTGAAAAAACCTGTTGTTAACCATTATACTGAAGTTGTTAATAGGGTTACAAAAGTTGTTAACCGCTATACTGAAGTTGTAAAAATTTTCAAAAAAATTGTTTTCGGTCGCCGAAGTTTGTTGAATTTCTCAGAAAAGCTGTTGTTAATTGCTATATTGAAGTTGTGAATGGCATTACAAAAGTTGTTAATGGTTATATTGGAGTTGTAAAAATTTTCAACTTCAGTATAACGTTCACAATTACGTTTTTTTGAAAAATTTTACAACTCCAATATAACGGTTAACAACTTTGATATAGCAGTTAACAACAAGTTTTTAAATTCAAAAAGTGACATTTTTATAACTTCAGTAATGCCTTTAACAAACTCAAAAACCTGTTGTTAACCGCTATACTGAAGTTGTTAATAGGGTTATAAAAGTTGTTAACCGCTATACTGAAGTTGTAAAAATTTTCAAAAAAATTGTTTCCAGTTGCCAGAGTTTGTTGAATTTCCCAGAAAAGCTGTTGTTAATTGCTATATTGAAGTTGTGAATGACATTACAAAAGTTGTTAACGGTTATATTGGAGTTGTAAAAATTTTCAACTTCAGTATAACGTTCACAATTACGTGTTTTTGAAAATTTTTACAACTCTAATATAACGGTTAACAACTTTGATATAGCAGTTAACAACAAGTTTTTAAATTCAAAAAGTGACATTTTTATAACTTTAGTAATGCCTTTAACAAACTCAAAAACCTGTTGTTAACCGCTATACTGAAGTTGTTAATAGAGTTACAAAAGTTGTTAACCACTATATTGAAGTTGTAAAAATTTTCAAAAAAATTGTTTTCGGTCGCTTGAGTTTGTTGTTGTTAACCGCTATAATGAAGTTGTTAATAGGGTTACAAAAGTTGTTAACCGCTATACTGAAGTTGTAAAAATTTTCAAAAAAATTATTTCCAGTCGCCGGAGTTTGTTGAATTTTCCAAAAAAGCTGTTATTAATTGCTATATTGAAGTTGTGAATGGCATTACAAAAGTTGTTAACGGTTATATTGAAGTTGTAAAAATTTTCAAAATAATTATTTCCGGTCGCCGGAGTTTGTTGAATTTTCCAGAAAAGCTGTTGTTAATTGTTATACTGAAGTTGTGAATAACATTACAAAAGTTGTTAACGGTTATATTGAAGTTGTAAAAATTTTCAAAAAAAAAAATTCCGACCGCCGGAGCTCCGGTGACCAATTGTCGACTGGTCACCGGAGCTCCGGTGACCGCCGCTGCCGGAGGTCCGTTGACCGGCCGGCCAGTAAGGGCTGTGATATTTTAAAAATAATATTTAAAATGAAGTGCCATGTGGTCTTTTCCTTTCACATAATAATCCCAATTTGGTCTCTTGGTACCAAAATGGGATTTGTGGAATTGGGCGGACGTTTCTGGGCTTTTGGAGTTGGATGTGTATTTTTCTGTCTTTTTCCCAAATTATAATTCAGTTTGAAAATTTTTTAAGTAAATTACTTATATTTTTATTTTAAAATTTTATTTATTAAAATTTTATTTAAAACGTTTTTTTTTGAATTTTTCCAACATTATATATAGTTGTATTTTTAAACCTAAGACAAATCTAATCTAAAATAACAATTAATGACATATTTTTTCCTAAAAAACTTGTAGTAATAGTTAAAAATTTTGTATAGTTTTAAAATATACAAATTTTATTTTAAAATTGTAATTTTTTGTTCTAGTGATATGGACTTAAAATGAAAAAAAATTATTTTTTAGAAGATTAAACTTATAAAATGTAACCATTTAAAATTGTATTTTTTTAAACTTTAAAATATATATAATTTTATTTTTTTAAAATTTAAGGACCGATACTTCAAATGGTTAAAATTTTAAGAACTTAGTTGCATTGAATAAAAATTCAGGAACTACATTTTAACTGAGTGTATAATTACTCGAAATTTAAGGCTTAAGTTTTAATTGAGTCAAAATTATATTAATCAAATTAAAAATTAATTTTTGCTCAATTTTTATATTTCTATTCAAGTTATTGATTGATGGTCATAAAATTATTAATATCATCAATTATAAAATACTACCTTCGATCCTTAATGTAAGAGCTAGTTGACTAATTTGAGTAGATTAAGAAAATTACTTAAATTAGTTATTTATCATAAATAGATATTGTCTTTCCTAAAATATCCTTACTAGTTAAATATATTAGTTAGAACTATTATTATTATAAGAACTACCTTAAAAAAATAGATAAATATGAGAAGTAAAGTGGATTGAGATCTTATATTTAGACTAAAATAAAAATCAAATGAGCTTTTATATTATCTTTGATCCTTAATATAAGAGTTAGTTGACTAATTTAAGTAGGTTAAGAAAATTATTTAAGTTAGTTATTTATAATAAATAAGTATTATCTTTCCTAAAATATCTTTTCTAATTATATGTATTAGGTAGAGCTAATATGTGATAAAATCTTTAATATATGTAACTGTTATAAGGATTATCTTGAAAAAATAGATAAATATAAGAAATAAAATAAATTCAGATATTATATGTATGATTAAATTGAAAGTTAAACTAACTTTTATACTAATTAATTCTAGGAGGCAGTATATACAAAATGCATCGGATGTGAATTTTATCTTTACGTTTTGTGGTTCAGCTTCAGATATTTTATGCCATTGTGTCGGATGCTGCTGGCAACGCGGCGATTTGACCAAAATTTTTAAATTTAAGAGTTTATTCGTTTTTCTAAAAGGATACGTGAAAACTTTTTAAAGTTTTAATCCACAAAGTCAAGTTCCCAGAGAAAAAATTTATCATATCCTGTTTTGTTAACATTTTAGGCGGCCCAAAAAAAGAGAGGACATTTTAGGCGTAGTATAGGTGAAAACTTACTGATGATAAATATTTTTTTTATGTTATAATATAACTATTATCATGAATAACTGAATCTTCTAATTTTCATATATTATAAAAATTGTGAAAAGTAATTGTTTATTACTCCTCCGGTCCTAAATATAAGACTCTTATATTAGTGTGTATAAGGGTCTTATATTTAGAATCGAAGGAATATTAATAAACAGTACTACCTAAGGTCCTATTTATAAGATCAGATCTTGTTTGTATATTACAAATGGGATCTTATAATTAAAAACAGAGGTGGTAGTTTACATAAAAACATATCCGTCACAAGCACGGGTACATGATATTAGCTCGTTACTTGGTGAAAAATAAAGATGTCATCTCATCTATATCACATAATATAAAAATTTCTTCCTGGTTTAGATATTGATGGTACATATTTGGCAAAAAAAAAAAAAAATGTGTGTGAGAAACTTTTACTTGAATAACAAAACATAGCTAAGGCTTACATGCACAGACACATATGCATATGCACTCATCACAAATTATTAATTTATTTATAATAAATTCTAAATAAAAAAGATTTATATCAGAATTTTATTTATCTATTGTGCTGTGCCTCCACATTTAAATATAAAATATAATAAATATATACTTAAATTATATAACTAAGCATTCCTCATATTGTAATGGAGTGATGATGATTTGCAGCAGATGCGATGGAGGAACGCCACGAATAACTTGAGTCTTTATTTTGGCCATGTAAACATGGAGCAATAAAGAAGCGCCACGTGTAGAGCTTACGCACCATCTTACCTCAGCGCGTGTCCAAATATTTTTCAAAGAATAAATAAATGGTCTGAGTCGTCCAAAGCGACCATTTCTTTTGCCGAGTTTATGGCATCTCTTTCTGTCTCTGACTTCAAACTATCACACACTTCTTCACTCCCCCCCCCCCCCCCCAAAACAACCTCCTCCTGAAACGTGTGGGCACAACCACAAGCACCCCTCCATGACTCTTATTTGATCCCCATACTCATTCAACACACTCTCTCTCTATTCCTTTGCTTCTCTCTCTCTCTTCTTGTTTCTGTTAGAACTTGTGGGCACAACACACACCCTTCCATGACTCTCTTTTGATGCTCTTTCAACCACTTTCTTCCTCCTTTTACCCGCATCAGGTACTTCTTCTTCTTCTTATTCTTCCACGTTCACCATGGAAGCCCATTCTTCTCCCTCAACGACGTCGTTTTATCACCAGAAACGTTTCCTGCAGGAGATGGATTTCTTCTCTGACAAAAAAATCAAGACTGATGATTATCAACATGATCATGATGATGATCTGATGATGCTAAACGGGCCCACAGAGCTTCACGCTGATGTAAGTAATTAATAATAAATCATTAATCCTTCAATTCTCTCTGTTGTGCACTGAGATCGATCTTCATGATATATTACATTGGTATGAATGGCTGTTTCATCATCCTTTATTTGAAACCTATACTTTTTTATTTGTTAACTTTTTTAATACGCAGGAAATTCATTAGAAGCCACAATTATGTAGATGGACGTGTGCTTAGACAGTTTGAATTTAATCTTGATGAAGACTTATGATGCAGGCGAGTTTAGATCTTGTGACTGTGACGAGCAGTAGCAACAGATCGATGGTGGATGATGGGGCATCATACGCCATGGAAGAGAACAAGAAAAAAGAGGCACGTAATCTCTTTGTTGATGTGTGTGTTGTATATATAGTACTGTTTCCGCTCCTTAACATAAGAGCTTGATAAATGATTTATGACTATTAAATAAATTAATTAAGTTAGCTATTTACAACAAATATGTCTTGATTTTCCTAAACTACACTCTTTATAACTGTTTAATTATGTGTATAGGAGCTACCTTTTGATCTGTAGCCCTCTTAACATGTGTAATCAATAAGAGTATTTTGATAAAAAAAATTATAAATTTAAAAAGTAAAGTGAGTTGAGGTCTTAAATTTAGAGTCAAAATGAATCCTCTGCCTACCTCTAATATTTAGGAATGGAGGTAGTAGCTATTTTCATCATGTTGAAGGATATAAATGGCTGAAATTTATTTAACCTTCTGGGTTCAGTATGTAGCTTTGTTAGCTGAATTGCAGCAGATAAAAGCTGAAAATCAACGTCTGAGAGATTTGCTTGATCAAGTGAACCTAAACTACAATGCCCTGAAATTGAAACTTACCAAGCTCAAGCGGACGCAAAGTAATAATGAGGTATGTGTAATATATCTATATCTATATCTATATATATATGCAGAGAGAGAGAGAGATAGCCTCTCATCAAATATATACAACATAAAGCAAAATTATCGAGAGAAAGAGGGTTGCAGTACTCTGGTTTAATCTAATTATTATTCCAAATTAATGGATTTTTCTTCGCTTCTGGGCTCCAGATTCATGGGGTTCTAACTTCATCATGACTCTGGCTTTCATTCTCTTGTATTCTTTGTCCAACCATCAACATGTGATTAAGCCGTTGTCAGATGAAAATTAAGCTAAAACTCTCATCTGCAATTTTTGTTTGAGAGATATATAATATATATGCATACACATTTTTGACTAAACCATCCTCAATATATATATATATATATATATATAGACTCAATCCTTTCTACTCTGTATTTACTGAACAATGTTAGTGTAATGTGTTTTTTTCTCACCATTGTGTTGAATCAATGCATTCTTGAACGTGGCAAAGTGTTTTTACAGATTAGATAGTTCTTTTAATTTTTCTTTCTTTTTCTTTCCTCTTAGAATTTCATGTATACATATTCTTGCATATGGGCTAATTAGTAGCCTCTAATACATATTATCACTATAATATTTAGCGTGACATTAGCATTCATTATAATTTCCCTATTTTCAATATTTTGCATGCTTTGGAGATTCTTGAACAGACCAATTAAGTAGCAGTACATGCATATGAAATTTGTTGTCTTGTGTTTGGGTTTGTGTAGGTAGAAGAAGGCAGTGGAGATCAGATTGAGAGGAAAAGAGGAATGAATATGACAGGGCTATTAGTTGAAGATAGTAATAAAAGTGAAGGCAAATTGAGAGAAAGCAAAAGCAATAATAATATGCTTGATTTGATGGAATGCAAGATTGAGAAGAGCACAAATAATAATGATCATCAGCCACTTAACAAAGGTTATGGGAACGATCATCATAATAGTGATCATACAAAAAGCATTTCATCAGAAACCATATCACTCGTCAGGAAAGCTCGTGTTTCTGTTCGAGCTCGATCTGAGACTCCAATGGTTAGTATTTGATTTCATTCATTAATTTTGCAAATTATATTCTACTTTTTTTGGCTTCATAATATCCGCCTAGCAAGCCCATATCGATCAGCCATACTTTTCTCCAAACTTTTAGCGAAAGAAGAAAAATACAAGACAAAAGGCACAACGGTAACAAAGAGACTGAGAAACATAATTCTAAAATGACTTTATATCATTTTCCATATCATGAACAGTGCCACTATAAGGGTATATGTACAGAAAACCATTCTAGAATATTCTTAGAGCCAGCTGTACACATATGTATTGAGAGATACAATTTCAAGTTTCACAAGTGTGGTGCTGTGTTTGGGCTTTAGGTATGTATGTCTTGGGCCTCTATTTAGTGATAGATGTAATTGGGCTTGTTAGTGTTCTAACATCCCCCCGGGAGTCTTATGGCACTAGTGTGACATTAAGACTCGTCCTTAGCTGTAGAAATCTATTTGTGACGAGAGGCTTGGTTAGAATGTTAGCAATTTGATCTTTGGAGGAGACAATGGCAATATGAACTTGTCTGGCTACCACTCTTTCTTGAACAAAATGGTAGTCCAGTGCTGTGTTTAGCATGAGAACGGAAGACAGGATTAGCAACAAGATAGGTTGCTCCTAAATTATCACAATACAGTATTGGAGCTTGAGTGAGAGAAATGTTTAACTTGCCAAGTAGATTTTGAATCCATATGAGTTCACTGCTCGTATTAGAAAGGGAACAGTACTTTGCCTCGGTGCTGGATCTGGAAACTGTTGGTTGTTTCTTGGAACTCCAAGATATAATATTAGGACCAAAATAGATGACAAAACCAGCAGTGGATCATGAATCTACAAGGCAACCACCCTAATTTGCATCAGAGTAAGCTTCAAGAGGTGGAGTTTCATAAACAGCAGCAGAGAACGAGGAGAGATTGAGGGAACATTTGAAATGCAATCCATAATAAGCAGTAGCACACAAGTAGCAATTTACAGCAGTCCAGTGTGGTTCAATGGGCTCGTGTGTAAGTTGACACATAGGATTGACAACATGGGAGATATTTGGACAAGTGAAAGATGAATATTGGAGACTACCTACTATGCTATGATAAAGAGTAGGGTCAGAAAAGCAAGGATGAGTAGAATAAAGTTTGGTGTTTATAGCCTGGAGATGCCATAGAGTGAGCTTTAATCATGTTAGCACGTTTTAACAAATCAACAATGTATTTATGCTAAGACATAATAAGACCAGTAGACACTCTATAAGCTTCTACTCCAAGAAAATAATGTAAAGGCCCCAAATCTTTAATAAGAAAGGTAGAGCTGACAATTATAATCAGAGTAGTAAGAGCATCATTAGAAGAGCCAGTTAAGATAATATCATCCACATAGATGAGTACATACAACTGACAAGAAGGAGAGTTGAAAATAAATAACGAAGGATTAGATTTAGAACCTGAGAACTCAAGTTGAGTGAGGCATGTGCTGAGACAAGAGAACCAGGCTTGAGGAGCCTGTTGTAAGCTATAAAGAGAATGGTGAAGTTTGCAGATAAAGTGAGGATAGTTAGGATGGATAAAACCTAGAGGTTGAGACATGTAGATGTTTTCAGTGAGGGAACCATGAAGAAAAGTGTTCTGGACGTCGAGTTGCCAAAAGGACCACCCTTTTAAAGCAGCCAGGGAGATGATTAGGTGTATAGTGATAGGTTTATCTATAGGAGAGAAGGTTTCTAAATAATCAAGACTAGGTTGTTGGTAAAAGCCCTTAGCAATAAGTCGAGCTTTGAAGGGATCAATTGCACTGAATGGTGAGTATTTGATGTGAAAAATCAATTTACACCTGATGAGATTTTGAGGAGAATCAGGAGGGACCAAGTGCTAAGTTTTAGTGTCAAGGAGCGCCTGAAATTCTTCAGCCATAGCCTTGCGCCATAAAGCGTGTTTAAGGGCTTCAGTGATAGAGGAGGGTACAGAGTTGAGAGAGGTGATGGCAGAGAGAGCTCGACATAAGGGCCACGGTATAGTGCCATCTGAGAAAACTTTAGGTTTGGAGATGTGTGCATGGGATCTGGTGACCATTGGATGGAGAAGGGTTGTACCGATTTGAGTTGCAGAGGGCAGAGGTGAGGCAGAGCTGGAGGAAGAAGGTAACTCGTGAAAGGGAGAGGATGGTGATGTCGACAGTGTGATAGGGTTTGGATTGGTAGGGAAAGGAGATGAGTCACGTGAAGAGGGAGGGAGTGGCAAGTGGATTTGGAGGATAAGTAGTTAGGCTTATGGAATGTGGGCCTAGAGAAACAAAAGGTAGAGTGGTATTTGATTGGGCTGAGTGGCAGTTTAAGTTAAGTGATGATATGGAAATTGGGTTTCATTAAAGAGGACATCACATGAGAGATAGATTCGGCCAGAGGGAGGGTGTAAACAAATGTAGCCCATGTGATTTGCATCGTAGCCTAGAAAGACACAAAGAGTGGATCTTGGCTCTAATTTGTTTTTAGTGTAGGAACGTAAGTTGGGCCAGCAAGCAGAGCTAAAAAACTTTGAGAAATTGGTAATTGGGCTTGTTGTGAAATAATTGTTGGAATTGACTTAGGTTGTTAAGTGTGAGAATGGGGAGTCTGTTAAGAAGATATGTGGCAGTGGAGAAGGCATAAGACCAGAATTTGTGTGGAAGTGTAGTGTAGGAGAGAAGGTAAAGACTTGTTTCAACAATTGTTTTGTGGCGTCTCTCAACAGTGTCGTTTTGTGTGCGAGTGTGAGGACAAGTTATGTAATGATGAATACCAAGATAAGAGAAAAGTTTCTTAAGAGGGCAAAATTCACCACCCCAATCAGATTGGAAACTCTTGATTTTTCTATTAACCAAGTTTTCTACAAGAGTTTTGAAAGACAAAAAGGTAGGAACAACTTCATCCTTAGTTCTAGTAGGGAAAAACCACATAAAATGAGAATGATTATCAATAAAATAGAGATAATAACAATAGCCATCTACAAACATAATAGGGGAGGGACCCCAAACATAAAAAAAAACAAGATCTAGTGAAGCAGATGAGTAGTATGGAGACAATGGTGAAGATAGACGATGACTCTTGGAGACTCTGCATGCTGAACACTGAGAGGGAACTGAAGTGGTTGAAACAAGTAAGGAGTTGGAAGAGATGATATGTTGAATTGTGCGAAAGGCAAGATGACCCAAACGATTATGCCATTGACTGAGAGAGGCACGGACACAAAGGCATGCAACAATAGATGAAGAAGGTTGCAATCCACGTAGAGGATAAAGATTGTTATGGTTGGGACCTTGAAGCAGTGTTTGGCGAGTCTTGGCATCCTTCACAATCAAACAATGAGCGTGAAATTCAAAGAAAACATTATTATCAACACAAAATTGATAGATTGATAAAAGATTTTGAGAGATATTAGGAACATGAAGAAGTTGGGTAAGAAGGTATTTGCCATTTTGTGCGGTGAGTTGTCCAGCACCAGTGTTGTGAATAGAGAGTAGAGCACCATTACCAACTTGCACAGGTTCATGACCTTAGTAAGGAATGGAGTGGATATTTAGCTTTGAAAGATCTGTAGTCATGTGATTAGTAGCTCCTGTATTAGGATACCAAAGTGTATCTTCCATAGCTGAAAGGAAGATAGAGTAATTTGCAGAATAAGAATTGGTGTGAGGAGGCCGAAAGTTATGATCATAGCGATGAGGGCAGGCAAACAGTGTGTGACCATGTTCATGGCACAGTTGACAGATATTAGTGGTGGTGGTAGGGAAGAGAGAGGGTGCTGTACGACCACCACACTGCCCATAAAAGTTTCTGCCACCTCTGTATCCATGACCTCTATTGTCGAAAAAAATCATCCTCCACAACCTCTGAAAAAGCAGCCACGTCTACCTCATTGTGTAAGTGTAGGAAGGAGACCATCTAAGATTTTTGCAGTGTTGGCCATAATTTGAGTAACTTGAGTGCCTATGTTTTGGGTTTGTTTGGCTTTATAAGAAAGAAGATGACTAAGGATTTCCTCTGAGGAAAGGATTTCTCGCCTTATAGTAAGTGAGGTGACTATGGAATCATAGTCAGAGCCAAGTCCACCAAAGAGATAAATATTAAAATCAACACCAGAGACTGGGTTTCCTGTGGCTACCAAGGAATCAACAAGAAGAGTGGCACATTGATGATATTCAGAAATGGACTCACCGCCTTCCTTTAAATGATGAGTTGTTGGTGGAGTTGGAGGTATTTAGCTTGAGACTGTTGAGAGAACATAGTTTCTAGAGCCATCCACATAGCTCTGGATGTTTTGTGTCTCACGACTTGAGCAATAAGTTTTTCAGATAGAGATGAAATGAGGAGAGATATAGCACCAGCTGATCCTGCTTGAACCACTTGATATAGGCTGGATTAGGAGTGCCATCAAAGAGTTTGGTTGGAGGCTGAGGATTGGAACCATCAATGTAATAGAAGTAACATTGGCCATAAAGATATGGCAATATTTGTGCCTTCCATATAAGGTAGCTTTCATGGTTTAGCTTGACGATGATGAAGTATGAGACATTGGGAGGGTTAAAGAGAGTGGTTTAGGAAGTGATAGGGTTAGAGGTACTAGAGGAGTGGGAGATTGGGCTCTTTGAGGGATCTGCCATGGCGGTGACGCCTACAGCTCTGATACCATTTTAGCAAAAGAAGAAAAATAGTAGACAAAAGGCACAACAGTAACAAAGAGACTGAGAAACATAATTCTGAAATGACTTTGTATCATTTTCCATATTGTGAATAGTCTACAAGGGTATATATACAGAAAAATATTCTAGAATATTCTTAGAGCTAGCTGTGCACACATGTACTGAGAGATACAATTTCAATTTTCACGAGTGTCGTGCTGTGTTTAGGCTTTAGGTGTGTATGTCTTGGGCTACTGTTTAGTGATAGATGTAATTGGGCTTGTTGGTGTTCTAACACAAACTATTAAGAAGTGGAAGGGACTTGGGCACCTTAAATATCATGTTCTAGGTTCGATCCTTGGGGTGGTGTGTATGGAATAAACACTGTTGGGAGAAGTCCCTGCTGCGATGCCTGATAGTACCCCGAGAAATTAGTCTCTCACCATTCGAGTGGGAGGATACTCTGGGTAACCAAAAAAGAGTATATAGTTCTTGATTTTGAAATTTTGTCAATGAATCCCCCATGAATTGTTAACTTTTTGCGAATAAATAATCTCTAAGCACATGACCGTAAATGTAGAAAGGAGTAAATACTTTTCACCCAAAAAAAAAGAGAAAGGAGTAAATACTATTGTTAGTGGTCTTTATATTTGCTCTTCATAGTTTTATTTAGTCTAAGTTTAACAACTGGTTTTTTAACTTTTAACAAGTTTTGGTTTTATTCTCTATATTTAAACTCAAATCAACTGACTATAAGTACCAACACAAAGTATTTGAAATTACAGGAATTGAAACCAAAATTCAATTAAACTGTAAAGACCGGTAATAATATTAACTATGTAAAAAAAAAAGAAAAAAGAAAGGTTTGTGGGTTCCCACAGACGCTTTTTCTCTAAGATCACTGAAAGAAAATCTAGATTTTAAATTTTAGTAAATAATTATGCTATCAATTTGTTATTCCAAAATCCATCAATGATAATAGACCTTTTCAAATTTTAATTTGTGTGAATAATTCTTTTGACGTACGTGTCACATGCTTGTTAACAAATAATAGATAACTTAATGATACAAGGGTACGGTCTCCATATATACGTGTATGATGATAGATTTCAAGGTGGTTTTCACTACTATGAAATTGTAGAAGATAAATTAAATGAGATTAATTAGTTGAATAATTTAGCCATAGTTATATATGAAGCATTAATTTATTTTTCCCCTCTTGTGTGATGAAATTTACATAATAAATTTCATTATGTTTTTGGCACTGACAGATAGCAGATGGATGCCAATGGAGAAAATATGGGCAAAAGATGGCAAAAGGAAACCCTTGTCCCCGAGCTTATTATCGTTGTTCCATGGGAACTGCTTGTCCTGTACGAAAACAAGTATGTAATCCTCTTCTCTCTTCATCAAAAAGTAGTTTTATATTTGTCCTGAAATCGATTATCATAATTTTAACTAGTTTTTTTTATAGAAATGGAAATTAGTAATGGTGATTGGGTCAAATAAAAGGAATCTGATTCTTATGAGTATGATATCATATTCAAGCCTTATAAATTTTTAAAAAGCTAAGTCACATTAGGAGAAATATTCTCTAATTTAATCTGTAGCAAAGCTCTCAGTAATCTTTAATGTTGAATTGTTGTTACTATAAATAACAACAATATCTTTAATTTGAAAGTTTGGCTGATCATCCTCATGTTCATTTAAAGAATAATTGATTGGTATTATGCACCAGAGATAACGGTTAAGATAAATCGAAAACTTGAATGCAACTTGGAGTATCGCTTTAATTTAAATGCCTTTGAACAGTATAAGAAGTGGCAGTTTTATTACAGAACATGAACATGACAAACCTTTAGCAAT